AACAGTCAGCTGAAGTGGCCTGCAGTACTGCACTCTACCCACTGCGCCACCTCGGTTCTCAAAAATCCAGTCCCACGTGATTGAATGGATGATTTTATTTTAAATAATTGTATTTTTAATATTTTTATGTTTTTACTTTTGTTGTGAGCCGCCCAGAGTCCCTAGGGAGTGAGCGGCATACAAATCTTATTAAAGTTGCAAAGTTGCAAAGTCTTCAAAGAAAAAAACAGAAAATTTTTGAGATTTTTGAGAATCTCCATAGGTGTGGAGCTGCAGAGTTTTGAATGGAGTTTTGAATGGAAATGAAAATGATTTCTTGGTCTGGTTTAGAATTTTTGAGGTCGCCTATGTTATGCAAAAAGTGTTTTAAATGCACTGTGACTAAACTATAATTGGGGAAAAATAGTTCTACCAGTGTGTATTTGTCTTTTGCTTCTTTGTTGTAACAAGAAGAATTACACTGTTTGCAATTTTTTAAAACCTTGCCAGGAAGGTGTGGAGTTTGGCACTAATTCTCACTTATCCACTGCATCGTTATATGACAAACACAGCTCCAAATCATCATTACTGCCAGAGCAAACTGAGAAGTCCCCACCTAAAACTACGCGTTGTTCAGGTATAATTTTTATTTGCCCATTTTCCAATATGGGAGTAATAACAGTGATTTAAATTAGTAAGAATACCTAAGAATTGTGTCTTTCACTCAGTTAAATATCCAGGAGATGTTTTCATTGGTTTGCGTAGATCTTAAGTACATTAGCATATGCACAAAATAGCTCCTGAGAATCATTCCCTGGTTTTTAGATTATGTATGCTCAAATAATAGGTGGCATTATTATAGAAAAGATACTTCACCATAAAGACATAATCCCTCTTGTTCACATTATTTACAAATAATGTGTGTGATTCAGAAACTTGCAGCCTAATATATTGGCACTTTTAATTAATTAGCTCAATTAAACAGTGCTGCCACACTGTTGAGTAAATATATTAAAATATATTAAAATATATACAAGTAGTGTTGAGGTAGTTGAGGATAATTAGGTGTTTGCCACTTTTCTTTCTGTAGTGTCTTCCTTACTTGCTTGTAATTTTTAAACACAGGTGTGCAGTGATATATCAGCATCTTCTACAGCTAAAACATAATAAGAAATAGTTATTGTAGTTATGGCTATTCATTTATTTTCAAGTGTATAGAACCACTAGGCTGATAAGACTATAATGTTATGCTAAGTACACAAGCAAGAAAGGATATAAAAGAAAACCTGTCTTTATATGCTTAGCTTTTTTCTTGTACAATTAAACTTAATTTGCTATTCCTTTCTGGTCTTGGTTTATCTTTCCATTTAAACTAGAGACTGTGCTTGAAAGCTCTGTTTAATAAATGATGTGCCACTTATTTCAAGCTGGCCAGTGATGAAATTTATATCATCTTTTTCTAATTTATGTTAAGAATGAACGGAGTTTTGAACAAATTAAAAGCCAACAGAGTTATTGCATGGAAGGAAGAGAAGGGAGTGTGCAAATGCCAGGCTTTATTTTGTCTGATTCCAGCTGATATATTTGAACCAGCCCATATATTACAAATAAGTAAAATGTCTAATCTTCAAAGGCAGGTTTGATCTCAGGTTATGTTGTACAATTCGCTTCATTTAACAAAGTTCCTCTTGTTGTCAGAGCTGCTATTTCTATTGAACTGCAGACACTGGCATGAGGAGAAATATAACGCTTTTTAAAAACAAACTACTTCAAATTCTCTTCTACAGCAAATGGATTGTCAATGACCCTGAAACGAAGTAATCGAGCAGCCTCAAAACCATTAATTCAGCCCAAGCCTCTGTTGGGAGCCTTCTGTGAAACTCAGCCTAGTCACCAGGCAAAAGCCATTGTCATTCCAGCTCTTCCCGCACTCCTGACCCTGCCTAAGCAGCAGCCAGTGGTTACAATTCAGCCAGCACCTCCAAAAGGTATATGGGTTAAGGTTGCAATGGGATCCATGCCAGGTCTGTTGTCGGGATTTAGCCAGTGATGTTGAATGTGTAATATGCAGACACTGCAGTTGCCTAAGAGAGGATTGCTAAGTATTTTTTGGTTCCACCACAAAACCGTGAAGCCCTTATCCGTGCCGACATAAGTGCGGAGGGCAAATCTGCACCGTTCGAAGCGCTAAGGAAAAACGCGACCCTACCGCGATGACATAATCGCGGAGGGCAAATCTGCACCGTCCCAAGCACTCAGCATCCTAAACCTAAACCTAAACCTAACCCTAAACCTAACCCTAACCCTAACCCTTACCTTAATTTAAATCGGGTTTCTGCCGCCGCGCTGTTTTAAAGCGCCCTTCTGTCGCCGCGCTGTTGTCGCGGCGGTGATGACGCACGGTGATGACGTCGCG